TTTCATTTCCACTCAGAGCTCCTTATCAAAGAGTTGCCAGTGTTTTCTATGAAGTAATTGTCTAATCACGTTTGGAGGCTGTTATTTGTTTAGTTTCATGGTTCATGCTGTAACCACCTGCAAATTAACCGCTCTAATATCTTAAATTGGTAATTTTCATGAGAAAATTGCACATTATATCAAGTCTATGCATTCTGACAATAAAAACAAGACCAAAAAAAAAAACAGATTATATATCCTATTTGCATTTTTCAAAGCCTTATGCGTGAAATTAGCCGTGAGAAATATACCATGGAATAATGGCTGGCGATTATTAGCTCCTAAATGTCATGCATGTTCACTTCGATATGTTACAGCTCCCAGCGCTCCGTCTGTCTATGAATGGCACATTCTGTCAGAGGTTGATCAACAGCCCGATGAAGCGAAGCAACAGAGTTGCAATTTTCATTAAGTGCCCCATGCAATTTTGTGGAACACGATCAACACGTGCCCCAAATATTCACAGGCCAGACGCTATGCTCCAGGCAAGCAGAGGCTTCTATAAATGTAGCCTTGTTCCTTTCGGTGCATTCTGACATGCATAAACACACGCTGTGTGCTTAATTAGATTTAATGTGCAGTAATTCCATAAAGAGTTTGAGTAACAAGGAGCTGAAGCAGGTCCAACCAGCTGTGTAGAACAAGATGCCAGAAGAAAAAATAAGCAGGAGAAAAGAAGGGGATTTTACTACTGCTGGAACATAGAGATATGCTGTCAATCAAAAGAGATTTGTTTCCTAATTACTTTCTATTTTTTAATGTCATTTTATTGAGTCTAAGGATACATGTGTACAACCTTTCTTACTTTTCCACAAGGTGAGAACATTAAAGAAATTACTAAAGCTCCCTTGTACGTCTTGTGCTGTGCCCTAGTGGCTATCCCTATATTGTTTCCATTGGTTCTTTCACTTAGTTATTTCTTTACATAGAGGGATATTATCCCTTAGAAGTCTCTGCACACTCTGGTACATTTGCTGTTTTAAATTAAGTAGGACAGTATTTCACAGACAGTTTTTCACCTTTCACTCCACCTGCTTACAATAAATAAAAGCTAACAAATAAATTGTTCATGTATATACAACAACAAAATTGTTGTGAAGTTGAATGTTCTGGTAGAAGTTGAATGTTCTAGAATGTTCACCACTCTCCAGTTGACTGTTGTAGATGAACCTTTTCCATTAAGGACTGAATTTATTCTGTGGTTTATTTCAGACGTACGTCTTAATTTAATCATTGGTTGTATAGATAAGAATTTTCAGTTTCATATATCATATAGGAGACAAACACAATGACATTTGAGAAAAAAATGTGCAAAGTTTATATATTTTTTTTTTTATAAAATACATTAATTCATTCATTTTCCAAACCGCTTATTCCCTTTCGGAGTCACAAGGGTCTCCAGCACACATTAGGCGAGAGGCGGGAGTATACCCTGGACAGGTCGCCAGTCCATCGCAGGGCAACATTCACACACACATACACACCTAAGGGGAATTTTATTTAGTTAACCTAACCGGATATTTTTGGGATTGTGGGGGAAACCGGAGTACCCGGAGGAAACCCATGCAAGAAGAGAACATTAAAACTCCTTTCAGGAAGGTCACCAGGGAGCCTCAACCAGACAATCTTCTAACTGGAGCAAACCACACAAATTGCTACCCACTGAGCCTCCTGCCCAAAATAAAAAAAATATTGCCCAAAAACAAACAAAAAAAACAGCTCATCAAGTCACAGTTTTTTTTTTTTTGTGAGAGGTTTCATTTGTGACGAGGACTTCACTCGGGACGTAAATTCATGGGTCGGTGGTGTACCGCATATGTTCTTGCGATGAACTATCAAAAGTAACAGAGAAGAACATAAATGAAGAGAAGAAGACGACAAAGAATATCTTGATGAACACAGAGCTTCCTACTTGGTGGCCAAGCAGTATGATGAAAAATTATTATAAAACAATCGATCGATTGGCTTTGTTACATGAGCACCATCTATTGGCAAGTGACACTGCATGGACATTAAACTGGGGAAAAAAGACATGCAAACAAACTGTTGCACTCATTTTGGGTAGGTGTGTGGCAGCCCTACAAATCATCGGAATCATCTGATCACAAATATCTTGTGTAGCGGGATTTAAAGATTAGCATTCACAATTGCTTTTCTAATGAATAGGTTGTGTCCTAGTAGGAGCCACCTAAAATGAAGGGCTTTGAGTTATTGTTGCAGCCGTTATAGTTTCCACATGTCGAGAAAACAGATGATTGCATTGTATTTGATCATACAAAGAACTTTGATATGCCTCAATCTCCATCTCTCTTTTATTCCCAATCACACAGCAACATATAGGCACCCTTAAGTCTAAATGTGTCTTCAATGCTAGTGTAAGTTATGGAATAAATAATGGGCAAAAACTGAAAAGCACCAGGCTCTGTTGGCTAAACAAATAGACCTTTAAGGCTGCTCTTTGAAATGGCCCTTCTGTGAAGAAAAGAAGCCGTTTCACTGTGTTAATGAGGGACTGTTTGGAAATGCAGGACTCTTAGCGTGGCATTCACTCTCATCCACAAGAGGCGAAGCAACATTAACCAACTGATTTTTTAACCCAAGGATTATACATTTTAATGAGGGAAGACATGGCTTGTTAGTGGTATTAGTCATTTGCAATGTCACAGTTAAAAATACTCCTTTTAATGCATGCACACATCTTAGCCTCACATCCATGGCGTAGTCATTAAAAATAAAACCACAGGCTTTTAAGATTCCAAAGCCAAAGCCAAAAGTACTGGGAAGAAAGAGTATCTTGGAAACAATGGGTGGAATCATCACTCGTTGTTGTTTAAACCCCGATGGGGGATTTTCAGGTTAAGCTGGCTTTTTGATGTGTTTTTAACTCATTTTATCCTTGCAGGGGGATTAATTTTGCCTCTTCCTGCCTCAAAAAAAAAAAAACATTTCGAGAATAAGTTCTCGTTTTCAACATATCGGGCGCCTTTATTCAAAGAAAAAAACTGACCGGGATCATCTCCTCCCTGACTTCCTGCTATAATTTCAGTTAATGAAGATGTGGTCAAAATGTGTGTGGTCCTCTGGAAAATGATGTACCATGAAAACATTGCCATGCAGTACTTTATAACCTTTTCTATCAACACAAACTGTGGGAGTTCTTTTCAGCCAGGGATGTTGACAATTACCCATGAGATTATGGTACATTATTTTATTCCACCACTGGAAATGAAAATAACTCCAGGGCCTTCGTTCCATACATGCGGAAAATGCATTTCACGTGCGCTCATTTTCTCACCTTGAACCCGACATTTAGAAATGACGCTGAGACGAGGTGCATGGACTCACTGTGTCAGCAAAGCAATCGTCCAGTCTCTTTAGCAAATGACAGACAATCAAGAGACACATTGCACAGAATGTTTTGTGACCGGGAAGTTATTTGGATGTCCAAATTCATCATGTTCAACCACGGGGCTGCATTGGAACAAAAGGTGCTTAATGTACTATACTTTTCTTTTGTAAAACCTGATTTTGCTTTCTCATGATGAATGCTGAGTTATGCAAAACTTTGTTGTAGAATGTGAAACTCAGCCATAAAGTAGTCACATTGTTGAATCACCTCAGAACGAGACTGTCTTGAATGTTTAAAACAAATATGAAAATAAATATTATATATAAAATTATAACTTGTAGACTTTCAATTAAACAAATTGCATTTACAAGACAAAAACAAAATATTGTTTACATAACAAATAGGTTGGGGCATTGAAACCATACTGTGCCATGACAGATCAGCCAATCATAGTTGAGTACTAAGTGTTCACATCTGATAAGCTAGTTCCCTACAGAATAAAACAGAACATTAAGCATATTTTTGGTTTTATTTATTGTTTCATTCAAATTGTAGCTGAAATTTTTGGTGGAATTTTGAACAATCTATATTAACATTGACATCACAATCAGCAGCTTTTTTTTACAGATTATTAATTATTAAGTAAATCCAAGCATTCTTACTATTGTCATATTTGAGTGCCTCATCTTTTGTTTTTTTTTGTCTATGTTTAATCTTTATATTTTATTCTCCATTTAAAAAAATGCATGTCCTTTCTTTGTTTTATTTAAATTGCATAGTCATTAGTTTCTTTGGGTTGTGTTGCCTTGTCTTGGAGCAATTAGGGCAACACAGATGTAAACAAAATAAGGTTTTATGTAAACAAAAATACTGAAATGAAAACATATGATAATCTTAATGTATGGGTATATATAGGTAATCAACACTTCAATTATATTTTTATATTTATTATTTGCAGTAATACTAATATAATTTTTTATTTTTTTTGATGGTTAGTTTGCTAAATCATGGCAAAAAAAATTAAAATAACATTTGAGTTTTCTGCAATCTGACACGGATTATTTCCTGTTTTTTTTTTTTTTAGGTAGAAATGGCAGACAGATGCTGGGCATATGCACCTGATTGGACTGTAAATGAGGGTTGAGAGATGTCTGTCTGTCTGGGCCATGCTGAGCTTAGATTGGGCCACTCTATACTGATTACCAACTGCAGCTTTATGCTATCTGAATGTGAACTTGTATGCAGGGTCATGGTCTGCACTCAGTTCCAGACAAAGAGGCATGCATGGGGAAGCCTAACTAGTCCTGATTAGTGAAGAGAGGCAGGGGAGAAATGTAAAACCTCTTCACGTCCTTGCCCTGGTCACATCTGCCCTTTGGAGGGGGGTTCTTATCACCTGCTCTTATACAGCCGTGATCGTGTGCCACAATAAAGCAGGTTTGAACTGTATCTGAAAATCAACATTTCAAATATCAATTTGTTTATATTTTAGCTTCTGAAAGTACTAAAATTGAGAAGCATATTGTGATTTTTCCCCTAAGCTACTGTTTTCATTTATCTTTATGCAGTTTGCAGAGGCTTTTATCCAAAGAAACTTACATCGAAAGGTTCTTGCTTCCCTTGTGGTTTGAACCCACGATCCCTGAGTTGCTAGTGCAATGCTCTACGGACTGAGCCACAGGAAAGCCAATGCATATCAATACAGTGTTTTTATTGGTTGCCTTTCATAGATAAATCCTTGAACAAACACATTTTATCACCACTCATAGATTCTTTTTCTTTAACCATTTTGCCCAGGTTAAGATCATGTGGTTGGGAAAATATATATAGCTCACATTGGGGAGAGGTAGGGTGCACCCTGTACAATACCCACATTAACCACTGTGTGCAAGTTAGATTCTTCAAATTACCTGAAGAAACACCCGCAAACTGGCCGCAAACTTTTAACTAAGAGACAGCAATACTATCCACTGAGCCATCACTCAGAATCCTGATGTGTATGGTCCAGGTATTGCAAACCCAGTGAGTGTATAGCATGTAAAAAACATGCTTAGAAGGTTAAAGTAAATTCAAGTAAGGTCAAGTAAAGTAAAATAACCCATAGAAGTTGTTTAACAAATACATAACATACATTTTTCATTACATTACAAAAGAATTACACAACAAACCTAAAATTGTGCAAAAAATACAATTTAAAAGTAGTACATTTTGTCATTTTTTTTTAAATGTAACAGGTTTTATGCTATATAAATGAAATTAAAAGTGTTGAGATAAAGTATAAATTTATAAATCCATGCATAAAGGTTAAAAAAACGTGAAAATTGTATTAAAAAATTGTCATGCACTTTTTTCCATTGTGCTTTTTTTGATACCAGAACTTTGAAAAAACTGACCATATCACAGGTATTGTACTTCAAGAGGGTATCACTTCTCTTTACCACTAGGTGACACTGATGAGAAACAGAAAGACAGCACGTTTTCTCACACTTTAATTACTGATGGGTTAATGGTAGTTACTTCAGAGTTCAATAGTGACTTATAGTTATGGGTAGTTACTACAGTAGTTACTGAGATTATTAGAACGAATAGTTAATGGCAACTTCCTGGTAGGTAACAATAGTTAATGCAGAGTTTCTAGATAGTGACTACTATGGAACTCCTTGTCATCCATTAATTAAGTAAGAGTATTCTAAAGTGATACCAAACTAATAAAAGAATCATAAACATAATCTTGTAGCTGAGAGGCAGCCAGTGCAATAGGACTGGGGTTTTATGTTTTACCGTATTGGTGCCAGTCAGCAATCTTGAAGCAAAATATTAAAAAGTAATATACAAACCATTCAAGTAGTAAATGCAGTAGACACATAAAACATGGAGTGAGCAATTACAAAATATAATGGGAAAATGAGAGGGCTTCACCTAACAATAAGACTGGAGAGCACAGTAAGAAACCATATCCTCAGATGAACCAAACACAAACTCACATAACTACTCACTAGCCCAGTGCTGGTAATGAAGGCATGGCTGCTGAAGAGGAGAACACGATGAGAGTGAATCCTAGCCCCAGAAACTATGTTTCAACACTCCTGACATTACACAGAGCACCCTGATGCCAGATCTTTGCCACAAAACTATAATAAACATGACAAGATAGAGGTTGCAGAAACCTGACAGCAAGAGCATACATGACAAGGTGGCAAGTCACTGTTTTAGATAAAGCTCCACCTCCATGAAGGGATCGCCAGGTCTGGAGAACCCGTTCACTAAGAAACCATGATTGTGAACATATAAAAAACAGTAAATGAAGAGGCAAATCATTGTGATCAACACAAGAGAAATAAAGAGAGTTGTTCACCTGTATTGCTTCCACTGAGTTCTTAAAACAACACTTTTATCCACATACTGTAAGCTTGAAAATCTCCCAGAGTTCCACTCCTTTATGCAAAGCAATTAGACTACGGTGTGCACATGGACTCAAGGCTAGATTAATTTCTCCACACCGATAACAAAACACTTCTGTCCTAAGATGTCATTAGCTGAAAAATTGAATTATATGATTTTTCTAATATAGAGAATGAAGTGCTCAGAGATCTTCATTCGTCAGGTTCCATCTGCAATGAGTGGACTCGGGGGATATTTCCTCATTCAGTGGGAATCTTTCAAGGTTGAATAAAAGGAATGGCGGTGGGTCCCTGAGAGAGGGAAGTGATCATCATTTTCACCTTCAACTTCTCTTTGATGTGGCACAGTCAATTTTTAATCAGCTACCATCGGTCCTGGCTTCATTTCTCCTTACAAAGTCCTATTACTCCCCACTTTCTGGGAGGAGGTGATAAGGACAATACTCTCCTCTCTCGCTACGCAGAGCCTCACGTGTGATGAGTCCCTTTGGAGAGGCTCGATAAAAAAGAGGGGACTGAGCTGGAAGGATAAAGGTCACCTCTCTTTCTGGATTAACCCTTTGTGTGCAGGGGTGAAGAGGATCTTGTAGGAGTCTGGGGAACCAAATGGTTAACATTGTCTCATATTTTTTCAAGATTTTTGTGTGTCGTTTCTATGTTAAAATTAAAATCATGCTTGCTTGACTTCCTGTACATGAAACCTTTACAAATCTGAATTATTATCAAAAATAAAATGAGTTTCTTTCTTCGTTCAGAGGCAAGATCAAGTGAACAAGTTTATGCCAACATAAAAAAACACACACAACAATATCTACGCAAATAAATTAATAAAAGAAAACAAATTTTAACAATTTACTTTTGAATTTTCACCACGCAAGTCCACGCAAACATAGTTTTTCGTGGATTTTTTTTTCTCACACCATAAAAAAAATCACCTCCAAAACAAATAAAAAAAAACTATAAAGACGGCATTCAAAAGTCGATGGTTACATGTACATGATTTAAGTAAACACACAGCAAAATGTCTGTTTTGTAAATAACCAGACACGTGTGGGCAGGGCCTATATTGTAAAGAGCCGTTAAGATAATTTCACCTGCTGAACATGAAAATGAGATTAATTCTCTTTAAGCAAAAAAAAGTATGAAATGCGATGTCATATTTAATTCTGGGAGCCATTTTTGCTTTTTCCAGTTAAGTTAAGAAATAAGTGGCAGAAAATTAAATACCCTAAACTTACCCCTAAATCTCATTCATGCTGAATGCTTATATTGGCAACTGTGGAAAGTTGGTTTCAGAGCTTGGGGCTGAAAAGCACTTAATGCATTTTAAAAGCACCATTACATTCACCCCACATCAATTGTAATGTCTTTTTAAACAATACTATAATATTTACAGCATAGTTTTTTGTTAGACTTTGACCCTATGTCTAATATGAAATGAAGTACATTGAAAGTGTAAAATAGGCAGATTAAAATGACGGTGTGTCTCTCTCTTACTCCATATCAGACTGAGCAACCTGAATCTTAACACCAGGTATAAACAGAGTCACATTTATGAAAGTTGAGGATAAACATGAATTAATATACATTTTCAAGCCTAAACTGCCAGTACGGAGCAGAGAAAGTAAACGGATTTGTGGACATGGTTAGTTTCTTTTCCTAATCTGCCTATTAGCTCTAAACTGTGAAATTCACAAACCCATGACAGGCCCACTGTTACTGGCAAACTGAGCTCCCACTTCCCTAGAGAACTCTCTCGCTCTTTCTCTCTCCCTGCTAATAAATCCATTTGAACATCCCCAGTCGCATTACAATGATGGAGCAGAGAGTGAGTGCAGATATGGTGTTAATAGGTGTGAAATTTTCATTGCCAGACCAAGACACAACTTTATTGGCGCAAACTTTCAAACGACTCATGTTTGATTTTAATTCTGCACACTGTCATTCTGGATTGCATTGGTTGTCATTTAATAGAGAGGAAATGCCAGGATTTATAATTGCATTTGTAAATAAGTGACACTTTGCCAGCTAAGACAAGTTTACTGTCCTAATTTGGACAGTTTAATTTTTTGTGCTGATGCTTAAGGCCGACAATAAGGCAAGGTGTGAGGGCACTAATAGAGAATGCTACAAATACACATTTAATAAGTGATTATGAATCTGACAACACAAGTGCTTTTGGGAATCTGTAACTGTATTTATTAGTGGTTATTGAGAAAGTAACAATAAACCCTTTTTACAAATAAACCCCTTTTGAGAAACTAATAAGTAAAAATTAAAAGGGCCATGAGCCGAGACTCAAGATGATTAAAAAGCAAATAGAGCCAGTATAAAACAAGTGGAAAAAGGGAACCCATATACTGTATGAAGGCTGCCCCTCCCATAGCCATGATGGCATCTAACCACTTTTTCTTCATAGCCATGCGCTTGATAAACAAAAGGACACAAACACTGACATGAAGCTACTATACTCGAATCTGTTACTAAAGATGGGTACAAGGATTATCAAGAGATGTTCAGTGCCAGGGTGTATGCCTACTACTACTGCCTATAACTAATCCTGATGTGATAAAAGAGTGGATACAGTTTTATTTTGAATGACGTGTGAGTCCAGGCATTAGTCAGTTTTATTTTACAGTGGATTATTTTACAAAAGAGCCCCAAATAAAATTTGTTCTGTATTTTCTTTCTTTGCTAATTTTTATATTAAATTATTTTTAATGTTTTGTGCAATGCCAGGGTGATTAGCATAACCGCTAATAATGCTGCGTCCATTGATTTTTTTTAGGCATTTATTCCCCAATCTGTGTGGACAGAAGTGTTTGAATGGCGTTTAAAGGTTTAATATCCCAACTATTACTTTTTTGTTTTTTAATTGAATTGCATTTAAAATTACTAAATAAATTTGAATAATTAAATACACTTTGATTTATAAAAGATCCATAACAAACCACATTTTCTTAGGCTACGGCACACAATTCTGTGCATGGTGAATTATGTCATGAATTTATACACCGCTTGAGATCTTGAAAACATCAGATAAACAACTTAAAAAATAAACTGATCGACTCTTGAGCGATTGCTTGTATAGGGGGCACACTATATTCCTTTCATGAATATGATAACTGCCTTATTTACTAACCACACTAATAAAAATGCTATTATTAAGGTCAAATAGCCAGCACATTAAGCATTTGGTGCTATTTTAAACAGATTCAGATTGAGTGCAGCTGAGTGATGCTGCTGTTATTGTGAGCCTGTCAGATGATATTTAAGCATTTTGCTC